AAAAAAAAAAAAAAACAAAAACAAAAATGTTACTTAATTTAAAGTGAAATAATATTGTTTAATTTAAAAATATTAATGTAAATAATGTTACTTAATTTAAAAATTATTGATTTAAAATAAAATAATATTTTTTAATTTGAAATAATTATATTATAAAAAATTTAATTTAAATAATTTTATTTTTTGAAATCTATCTATATATTAAAAGAATAACCTTTTAAGGATTCCCGCCAATATATGTATATATAATCACTCGCGCCAATTGTCTTTCCTGTTTTCTTGGTAGATAGAGTAGTCAACGACTGATTTATTAGTATTTATTGGGTAGATAGGTAACAAATCGACTGATTTATTGGGTAGAATTTGTTATTCTCTTTCCTGTTTTTTGGTATCAAAATAAATATTTGTAATTATTTTTGGTATCAAAACTAATAATTTTCAAAATTGTGTGTAATCAAATATTTTTAGATGGAACACCATAAATTCGGTATGATTTTATTAAATTAGACTTATAATATTTTAGATACTTGAAACAAATTGTTTAGACATTTTTTTTACATATCCGTCTATATATATATATATACATATACACATACACATAATTGATGTTAAATTTAAATATATGTAGACATGTTTTATTTACAAAATAGTCTAGAATTTTTTTTTTTTACACAATGTTAAATTCAAATGTTTTTAGATATGTTTTTCTTCTAAAATTATTTAAAAAATTGTAGGTGATTTCACATCTTTCAAAAATAATATAGAAAAATTTGAATACTATTACATATACTAATATAATATTTTAGGTGTTCTTAATATTATACATACAAATTTTATATTCTCTTACACAAAATGTAAATTTTATATTCTATTATACAAAATAATTTTACATTGTTTGACCCCGAATCTTTAATTTATAATTATTAAGTATTGTTTATTCTCCTCTTTAATTTAAAATTATTATTTTTTTCTTCCTCTTTTTAAATAAGATCAATAGTAATTTCCACTTCTACCATTGAGTGTCTCAAACTCAAGATTTATTTATAATATTGTTAATTTAATATTGTTCCCGTGCATCGCACGGGGTGTACACTAGTAAGAATAATAGATTATTTAATTTTTATTATAAAAAATATAAAAATCTATTTATTTTGTATGTACAACATAAATGTCAAATCGAAGCTCATCATGGGGTAATTAATTTGATCTATAATGTACAAAAACTTTATAATAAATTTAAAAATTTTTAATCTTTAAAATATGTTTATAAGTTAATTTTAAGGTCGAAAATAGAGAGAAAAAATTTGATGTTTTGTGTGTAGAAGATAGAGGGTATATTTGTCTTGTGCTATTTCTCATATCATTTTGTCCAAGTGCTTTTGTCTTAAAATGCATTATGTTTTGTAAACATTGGATAAATGCTGACGTGTAAAGTGAGTTTAATAAATCCGTCCAATCCCATCCTATGAAGTAAAAGGCCAAAAAGGATAGAAAGGGCATACATCCGAATCTCCCGTTAATTTATAGCTCAACTATTCATCTGTAAAAGAAACCAGAACCAGCTCGTGACAAAAGTTCCTCACCAGCATCCACACCCATCTTTATCATATCTTCATAAGCATAAGGGCCCCTCCTTGAGGTTTCAAGCACTGCATAACAAACAAACAAACAAACAAAAAATATTGTTGAAATGTTGCATAAATTTCAATTAAGTTATAACTGAAAGTCCTCAATTACCAAAACAAACAGAAAATCCTCAAGGATATTTCAAAACTTTATTTGCATGAACAAATGTATTAGAGCCAATCCTCGAAGTCCATTGCCCATTTAACAAGTTTTTTTTTTCCAACTATCGCGAAAAGAGTTGTCCCCAGTGTACCTTGGGTTCCATCGGGTGATGCCACCAGTGCTTTAAAAACACAATTCCCATCTTCATCTCGACGGGCATACCCAGCTATCGGTGTCCGACAAGAACCATCCAATTTCTCAAGAAAAGCCCTTTCACACACTACAGCTAATCTTGTATCCTCATGATTCAAGGATGCCAAATAAGTTGCCTGTAGACATTAAATATTCCGAGCATACAATAACATTAAAAGGAAAAACCGTTGAGAAACTCCACAATGTCTTTCTAATTACAAGAAAAACAATTCTGGGTCAAATTACATATAAATATACCATTTTGTCATCATCACTTCTGCACGCAATCCCGATGGCTCCTTGGGCTACAGCAGGAAGCATATCATCAATGGATAGAACTGTAGCCACATTTTCGGTCATGTTTAGGCGCTTCAAACCTGCTAGTGCCAGTAGTGTTGCCTGGACCACCCCCTCATTCAGTTTTCTTAGCCTTGTCTGCACATTACCTCGGAAATTCTCCAGCACCTGTAGGATTATGCATTTAAGTTTAAAAGATCAAATTTACGCATTTCGTAGGATTATGCATTTAAGTTTAAAAGATCAAATCTACGCATTCCATTATCAATGAATCAAGTTAATAAGGTAAACAAGAAGAAAACAGAGTATGCAAAAATATTGATGTGTCCATATTTCAGTATAACAGTATGTAACAGTATATTGCAGCTGATGAATCTGCCAGGAACTAAAAGGGGCAGCTACATACAAACTGCTCTGTATTCTCATACTCAACTCTAAGGCCGATCTTTCCATTCTTGAGGTATGTGACAAATCGAAGATAAAACTCACAAGAGCACATGCATTTCCATTGTCAGAGCTCAGAAGTAGATTTCTAAAACCCTTACGAAATCTGCATCAAGACCCTTTAAGTCAATAAACAGTATAGGATATCGCATTTATATTGTCAGAGCTCAGAGACAGATTTCTAAAACCCTTACGAATTCTGTAACAAGACCCTTTAAGTCGATAAACATTATAAGGTATCACATTCATAAGTTATGAAAATGATTAGCTACAACCAGTGAGTGGGTGATCTAACACATCTTTCAGAGTGAAAGTACTCTGAGAGCATATATTACAGAAAATGAGCCTTGGCTTGTTTTTATTATCATTCCTATTTCTTGAGAATATATATAAACAAACACATACAATACTGAAGGGGTTTCAGCTATATACATTATCATTGAAATAAAACTGTTTAGTCTTATGCTTAGTCCCCTATATCCTATAAAACATAAAAACAACTATCAAAATTAGGAAAAGTGATCATGAAGTGTCTCTGTCAAATGGGATATGAACTAGCTCACGAGATAACCTTATTTAAGGTCACATAATTAGAGGCAAGAAGATGCAAAACAAAGATATGCATTCAAGAACACCACAAATTTTAAAGAGAATGAGAGTGACCGTGATAGTTGACATACAACAACGAACTCATGACAAACAAATAATGGTCTCTACTATTCACTACACAATTAATGACACATCATCTCAATTCTCACCAGTGAACCACACACAAATTAATACCACAACACTCCTTACCTTTAGCGATGGATATCTATAGAGAAGTTGTGACTTCCTTCTCAAAGAAGCAGTACCAACAACACTGCCTGCCGGCAGCTCGGCCAGAGAGTTGGCACTCAAGCAAATGAAAGCATCCCGAACATCCTCCCGAGGGAGATTGCACGGCAGTGTAGTCTTTTCAGGGAGATACGTTGGGACATCTTTCATCGAGTGGACAGCTATATCAATATCACCATTAATGAGGGCCTCATCTATTTCCTTGGTGAATAGACCCTTCCCGCCAATATCCGCCAGCGGCTGACTCAAGATTTTGTCGCCAGTTGTCTTAATGATCACGATTTGGATAGCCCCATCCTCGGCTAGCTCCGGATGTGAACTAATCAGTTTATCTCGGGTTTCATAAGCTTGTGCGAGAGCAAGTGGGCTGTCCTACAAATAATAGGACAAAGAGGAAATCGGTAAAGAATCGAAAACAAATTGATTACATAAAAATATTTTACTAAAAAATCCATTTGTAGGTTAATGGAGTACTGAGTGTTGGCATAAAGGAAAGCAAGGTAAACTAACAAGATAAAATCGAATATAAAACGAAGATAAAACCGAATATAAAACGATCAGAACTCATAACAGATAACACATGTGTGCCTATTGCCAGACCACAAAGCAATTCAAATGAGGATAAATCACACACACACACACACACACACACACAACTCGAAATTGCTGGTAGGAACAGAAAGAAACGTACGCGAAATTGAAAAATGCAACAGAAAATTAGTAATAATTCAACTTTCTCCTGAAATAAACTGAAGCTCAGTATATCAAACGATAACATGACCATCCAAAAAGCACATGAACTCGAAATCAGAGCAACATTATAATAAACATTTCAATTATCATAATTTAGAAAACAAAAAGATGTGGCAAAGAGAAGAACCTTTACCTTCCCCTGGTGCCAATTCTGATCACGGCAGTCTTTGTTTCAGTCTTCTCCTCGACCGGCGCAACCGAAGCAAACGGGACACAACTTCGACCGCGCTTGGAGTCCGTCGGAGCTGGACATTTACAAGTGCCGGGCAAAGCGAAAACAAGAGCTGAAACAGAACCAGCCATGAAATTGCTGGTGATCGGCCGTGCGCTTGATGGGAAATGGACTTGATTTACAGTGGCCATGGCCATCTCCACTGCCAGCTGGAGCGTAGAAGATGAATGAGGATAGCGTTGAAGGGTATGCCAAAAGAGGCTTTTGGATTTTGGTCCGAACCCTCTCTCTTGGGCTTTGAAGTTAACCTGATAGGCTAGCCCCATTAGCAAAAGACTAAATTGGGCCCACTTATATTATCCGTCTTAGAGATTTCCACAAATATTTTGATTAGAATCTATAATTTCATATAATTTTTGTACTAGTGCATAACTCTTGCGATGTACGGAGTGGATAATTTATAATTATTTACTTAAAAATATTATTATAATCGGGAATAAAAAAGTTAAATAAAAAGATTAATATTATATATCATTAAAAATTTCCTTGTAGACAACGTTTTTTGCTTTTTAGGCACACAATCCTCACCCGCAAACTAATATTTTCAAGCTCTTTCGATTAGTGACACGGTAAACAAACTATATAAAATTGACATTGATTGAACACAACTTCTTCAAGAACATGCCAAGAGATAAAGACTAACTCTGGCTCTTGGCTACATACAACTGACATTGACTGAACACCAACTTCTTCAAGGACATGCCAAGTGTGAAAAAGATCGACTATGGCTCTTGTCAATCGTCATGGCATAAGAAACCATTAGGAGAAATTATCTCCGCAAAAATTTGAAAGGTACTCTAACGTCGAAGGTGTTAGAGTCATCATAGGTATCAACATATTCTCTCTTGCATTAGATTCAACCAATAGTACATTACATTCAAGCATATGAGTGGAAAATTTTGTGACAACAAATCTCGTACTATTGCACCTTATAGAATGGTCAATGTTCCGCAACAACATGACTACGGTTCCTGTCTTAAGATTCTACTCATGGTTCGACACTCTATAGAACATCTGATAGTATAAAAAAACCCAGGGCTGTGGCGATCGGACAAAAAATAATTATTGAAATCATACTTACACGTACCATCAAAGCTCAAGTATGTTTGACCATTAGTCACGTTCAAAGACGTTGCGTACTCATCCATAGACTCAACCACCTCCAACTTTGGGGCTAGTATAGCCCTATCTTTCAAATGCCTAGAATCATCTTTGCACCCTTAAATATTGGATAAGTGCACCCAACAATTGCAGCGATAAGTTCTTTAGTAGGCTTCAACAATATATTACCAGACATGTCTATCAAGGCACATCTATCATTGAATTCCTTAATGGTTCCATCTCTGATGCTCCCTATCGAATTAGCAAAGGTTGTCAAGTCCTCGCGATCATCCGAATAACCAATGCTCTGAAGTCGCATATTTTTTTGTAAACCTCAACACAGTACAGTTAGCCCATATGTCGGAAAAAATAATTGCAATAATCAAAATATCCTGATGGCTCTCTTTTGGAATAACCAGGAGGATATGTCGGAAATTGGATTTCCATATTATTATCGTATTCAACCTCAAATTTTTGTTCAATTATACGAATCAGACACAACATCATTAATAGCTTTTTAGTTCTAGTGATATCTTTGATCAAACTGAATTCGCACCTCATGTTGAATTGAATTAAATAAGTATACATCGTGTATTTTTTTTATTAAAAAATTTAATCAAAAGCAGGATGAGTAGACAACATCGATCTGCACAAAATTCATAGGGGAAGAACAAAGTAAATTTTAGATCAATTCAGTAAATATTTGATATGAAAATATTTTAACAAACACAATAAATTGTCTATGATTCATGTCAAATTTTAAACGTGTGCAAATAACACTTGTTATATTTTGTATTAACAAATATTTACTTTATGTAATTCACATGCTTTTTTGGTTAATATGATGCTATTATATTTTTCTGTATTTGTTTATTTATATGTTGCAAGTTAATTAATATGTGATTTGCAATGTGGTTATGTAATATTTTATATTAGAGTTTTTTTTTATATTTTAATTATTTGCTAATCAATTAATAATTTGATTATATCAGGTATACTGAATCTCCTTCCCTTCTATCGAATCGATCATAACCTTTATAGATATAAGACACAGGACATTGCCACACTTCTGAATTGGTGGAAGTGACAATAAGGTTGAGACAATATCGAATTTTTTTTATGTAGATCTTGCGTATTTTTATGTTGTTTCATCGATTTGGCACTATGAAAGAAAATTGTGAAAGTTTTTGGTTAAAGAATGATCAATACGATATACAATGCATTTTTATAAGATCTCGTTGGAACTTTGACTTTCACTCCAATCATTTATACAAAAAAATATCGATAATATTACTCTTCAGAATTCTCATACCAAAAATATCGAATCCAAAGCTTAAAAAAAATGCACACACATTTATTATAAAATAACCGGTCACATTATTGTTCAGATATTTTATACCAAAAAATCGAGATACTCTTTAATTTTATATTAATAATATTGAACATAACGAAATTGCATTAGATTTTAAGTATGAATTAATTTAGATTTAGTTTATTCTTGTACAAGCATGACCTAAACGTGCGACTCTCGGTACATTCACCCAATTCACATTAACCTTTCGGTGCTCTGAAAAATTATCCTATTCTACAGCCATGTTTTTATAAAGCTGGAGTATTTTCTTTTTTCCAAGGTTACTGATAAATTAATAATCCACGTTACTTATAAAGCCAAACAGTGTGCCGTGTGCGGTTACGAGAATCAGTTTGGTTCTGTTATCAATTAACAGTTTCTCAAGTTTCCGGTTTTTGGTTTCTTAGATTTGGCTTCGAACCAATTTGCTCACCCTAGCCACAGCTTACGAGCCAATCTTTACACAGCCGAAAATGTATCCTAACAGATATCACACAAAAGTCCTCCCGAGATCCACAAATATCAGAATAATCCAAATAAACAGCACATAAGTGAAATTAAGACGAACAACGAAGGAAAAGACACGTCCAATTTCTTGAACTTTTAAGGGGAAAGATCAAAAAAACCACTTTATCAAGAGTAATCAATCTATCAACACTACTATCCAAATGAAAACAGCAGTGTACGTGAAATTCAAAACAAATTAATCAATACGGACAATTTTTGGATATCCCGAGAAAAAAAAAAATACACACACACACAACAAATACCATCACACTTCCGGAGAAACAAACACCGTTCACAATAACAAGATTTTCAATATGACCAGTTGCCTTATAATGCTCAAATTTTGACACTGGAAACATTTACATCTATAATGATGTAAAATTCCACAAGTTAGAAAAAATTACAAGCTGTGTGATTATATAAGCCAAAGTTCATCCAATCGGATACAATGTGCAAAAGAAAACATTAGCAAATAAACAAAAGCTCTAATCACAAGTGGGTGCCAAATAATAAATTATATAAACAAATTTGAAAGTTTTTAGAA